TGTGAGTAGTTCTGTTGATGTCAGTGGGTTTTCTCACTTAAGCATACTAGATTTGATAGCTAGGTTAGAGATTATCAAGGTTTTAAACTGTTTAAGGGGGGAAAATCCCCAACCAAATGGAAGCTCTTGGTGCCCTTTAAACTGAGGCACTGCTTGTTGGGTTTTTTGGGGACCAGGGGGGACCCAGGAAACAAGAAGCATCTGGAAATGTAAGCTGAGCCATGTTTTTGCTTTCTAAACTTCTGTTTAAGTGTAATAACTAAAGAACTGCATGGGGACACCAAGGTGTGCAAGCACATACCTCTGAAGCCACCAGGGCTTCCGGCTGCATTTTCTTGACTGGGATTTGATGGGTTTCAGATGTTTAGCTTGCCAAATGCAGCTTGGGAAGAAAGGAAGCAAATGAAAATCTAGTACATGCAATGAAGAGGAACAAATTACTTGAGATTAAGATGGTATTACAAACTGAAGATAAAAAAATGTATTTTAGCTCTCAAATTCCCCTGGTGAAGCCTTTAGCTTCCTAAAATCTGAAAAAGACCCCTAGTACCCAGGTGCTTTTCTTTTTTTCTCCAGCTTTGTCATTTTACCTGGTAAAGTATTGTTTCTTTCTTCAAACTTTGCCCTGCTGTACTGTTACACCAATGTGCTGTGATACTGCTGCTGTTTTAAACCCAAAGTCAACCTATCCCTGAGAAATGCATCTATAGAGGATTGCAGAAAGAGCAGCTCAGATTATACAGCTACACCTGGGCAGTGCTGGTACAACTGGGAGAAAAACACAGAGACGATGCTTCATGTCCAGCCTCTTCTTCCATGGCTACACATAGGTGCCTCACCAACCCAAGCTCTTGAAGGAGGAATGGCTTTTGCATTGAAGAAGCACTGATTGCGATCCACTGCGCAGAGTTTTGACACTGTGCACTTTAAAGGGAACATTTTGAAGTTAATCTCTCTGGCAGCTCTCTGCAATGTGAGGTTGAGTTTTATGAAGCCAGTGCTGTAAAATGGAGCAACTTTGGGTTGGTGCAGTACCTAAGTAATCCCAAGAGCACTTTGCAAAGTGGCAAAGTACATATGAATACAGCGTGTGCGTAGGCAGGAGATAACAAGGAGCTGAGGAGAAGAACAGTTTTGCTGGGGAGGAGGTGGAATGAAGTGGGAGTGGGGCTCCCAGCCCCAGTGCTGAGCCTCTGCAGCACCTTTAGCTGCTGCATGGCCAGGCAGGAATGAAGGACGAGGTGCCAAGGGGACAGCTGGTGCAGGCTGAATGAAGGCAGGGGGGCCACAAGCAGGACAGGAGTGTGTTTGGCAGGACAAACCTGATTTTGTGTTGGCCTCTGGGCATTTTATTTGCCTTCATGTCTCTGCCATACCAGTTTGCAAGACATGATTGACAGCTTTCCCTTGCAATTTATTTGATCATGGTAATTTTTTTGACAGGCTTCTTTGTGGTTTTTTAATATATCAAATAGAGTTTAATAATAGCCTGCTATTAAGTCCTTTTGTTTTTCCCTTGGGATTTTCTTATGACTGTTGCTTCTCTTACCTATTTGAAGCTCTGAATCTCTTTTCCAACTGTGAAGAACTTAGCAATGTGAGTGCATGCATAATATGTAAAAACATTTAGCAAAATTGTTGTTATGCTTGGGAATTAATAAATGCCAGTATTGAGGGTAATAGACTTGCCTAATTTACAGTGGTATTCCTATTAAATTCAGGTGGGACAGGTTGGACGCAGGATGGTCCAACCCCAGAAGGTTTTATTTTATTTTTAAATTCAAATTTTATTTCCACTCATCTTTTGAAGATGAATTTTGTCATTGGGTCCAGGATGAAGTGACCTCTGAAGAGAAAAATGTCAGTGAGAGGAAAAGTGAACAAATTAAAGTAAATTCTGCAGTATGCATAATAGCTTTGAATTATCAAAGACTGTAAAAAGAAAGTGGCTATATGCATTTAATCAAAGTAGGGTAAGCACATCTGAATGGTACCTAATGGTACATTATTATATTCTGTAATGGGGGAGACAAAATCCTCTTGTTTTTCTTATTCCCCTGACACTGTTGGTGCTGTATCTTTCACTGTTTTCTATCTCCACACATGGTAGGCTTGGTTTTTTCTGCTCTTTGCTTTTACTGGTATTTTTCAAGAAAGTCATAAATTCTTTTCTTCTACTCAGTCCCTTCATATGCAGTATTAAAACAGGGATAGTGCAAAGCCTGATCTCAGCCATCAGTATTCACGTGCACAAAGGGAGACTTGACTCTTTCCCAATCTTTTCCTGTCTGCTTGCTACCACTCTGGTTGTTTAGCCCCTGTATGATCATTCAGATTTCTCCCCTTCTCCTCTCCAACTCAGACTTTTCTGTGGTCCCTGGCAAAAAAGATATTTGCCAGATACGGCTACATTTTGCTGAATTTGGAGTCAGAGTTCACAAGGAGATACTGCCTTGTGCCAACAGCTGATGGTATTTGCAGCAGTGTGAGGGGAAGGTAACACTGTTAAGCCCTGGATGCCAGCAGCAGACGCAGATTTGCAGTTGTGCTGTACTTGTGGGAGAAGGGCATAACAGCAGTAACAGGATGGCTGCTGGTAGGAGCTGTACCAATTCAACCCTCTGCCTATCTGTTGGAAGGATAGAGGGAAAGATACCTAAGCATGCCCACCCACATCAACAATAAGGATCATATAAGAAGAGGAACTGACAGTGATTTGCAGAGTAATCTCTCTTCTGTAGAAAGGTTAGACATGCAGACGTCTTCAGGTTCCAGCAACTGTCCCTAAAGCCAGTCAGTTCAGAAGAAGATGATTTTTGTAGTTTGATCTTACCAGTGGAATATACATGGATTGAACAAAATTCCTAATTTAAACCTTTATTAAACGGGGAATATTTTTCAGGGTATTATGCAGCCAAGGATTATTTCTTTGTCTGCAGTGTGGAATTCCTTTAGTCTTTTTACATTTTCTCTTTTGTCTCTCTTTCTCCTTCTTGTTTGCAATGGCATTTGTTATGACCATTGGAAGGAAATGTTTTTCTGCTTAGCTAATATTTTGGTTCCTCTTGCATAGTTAGAGGACTTCAGTGAGGCTGCATTGAGGTCACACACCACCGCTTTATGGTGGTGATGGCTAGACAAAAATTTCCATTCATGTTGAAGAGCATGGCTCAGGAGAGCCACTCACAGTGAAGGAGACAAATTGTACATTTCAAAAAGACTGGTAAAATAACTTTAAAGGAGGAAAGTTCCATCATAGAATGGTTTGGGTTGGAAGGGACTGTACAGAATATCCCATTCCAACTCCCCTTCCATGGGCAATGACACCTTCCACTAGACCAGGTTGCTCAAGCACCATCCAACCTGGCCTTGAACACTTCCAGGGACAGGGAGTCCACAGCTTCTCTGGGCTGCCTGTTCCACTGTCTAGATCTTAGGTTTTCCTGAGTTTTCTCACAGGCTTTCTGAAACAATCAAAACCAGCAGAAAGCTCCAAATCCAAGTTAATTTTGAACTAAAAGCTATGAACTTTTCAGAACCCTTAGGCCATTTCAGGGAGTGCTGCATTAACTGCAGCTATACAGTATTTTTCAAGAGCACTGATAAGTGATTGATGATGCAAAACCAGAGAAGTTAATAGAAAGTGACACATGTATTTTGTAACCAATAGAAATATGAAGTAAAGAAGAAAAAGTACTGCTTCCTTAGTGAAAAGATAGAGAAAGAAACTTCACTCCCCTCCTACACATCGTGTCCTGTTCTGTTCCCCAATGCAATGAAGGCAAGAGGAGAAGAGGGATCAGAATTTATTTATAATTTTGGCACTAGGGATAAAAATAAATGGCTGAAACTCTGTGGAAGTTCTTTGTAACTTTCTGAATTTTTAAGTATGAATAGAGTGTATGGAGAAACTGGTATGCACCCTGTTTCTTTCCACTAGTTTGTCATTGTCTCTAGATTTTTGTGTCTCAAGTGCCTGCTTATTGAAGGAACGAGGAGGCTGAATCACACCAGGCAGCCCACAGGTCTGGTGACTTCATTTCCTGGGTTATATAAAATCCAAACTTCCTAGCAAATTGTCTACAGGAAGTGTTTACCACATTGATATAGAACAATTAGAGTGCACAGAAACCTGGCCAGGTTGAAAAAACAATGATGTGAAATATTGACTTTATTTATAAAGACTTTTAAACGTGGTCTTTATAAATAAGCCAGTGAGCCACCAACCAACCTACTTACCTGTGTTCTGGAGCAGAAGTGTTTAGTTAGCTGTCAGGGCTAGATTTAGCGTGAAGGGTGGAGACCTCTGTGGAAAAAATGCAATTAAGGCATTATGTCTAGTTTGTTCCATTCTCTCTAATAAATTGCTCATCTGTGTAGAGCAAGAGATCTTATATTAATATTTCTTAACATGGATATTCATATGTCTGCTGAGGTCCTGAGAGTGGATTTAAATAGTCCAGTTAATGTTGTTTAGTGTGGGGAGTTGGCCTCCTACTGCAAAAATTTGCTCCTGTTCTGAGCTGAAGAATGAGAGCTCCCTCATCACTGGCTTGGTGATGCTGCAGGAAATATAGTTGACAGAAGCAAGAACCAGCCATTAATCTCTCAGTCTACAGAGTTAAAAGCTAGACGAGTATTTCCCCACCCTATGTAGTCTACAGACTCTTGGGTACCTATTTCACACCAAAAGGGCAGCTTTCCCCTGACAAATCATTCTTTGTAAACCAAAACAGCAAGAAAACAAAAAGAAGCAGAAACCTGTTGACAATATGCCACTTTCAAATTCATGGCTTTGCTTTCCAAAGCCAAAACAAACCACTTCTTATGCAGCTGTTACTGGCTTCTTGTGGAAGCCATGTTTGGTAAACCTTGATTATCTCAACAAGTTCTGTTAGTTAGTTTTATGGTTTGCAAGGATGGCAGTTAAATGAACAGAAGCTCATTTTATATTACAAATTATACTTATCAAGAGGATTTTTATCAACATGTGTAAACAGAACCTTGGCCTGGAGTCTGAGAAGAAGAAGAATGCAGTTTCTGTGATGCGCTGTCCAGCATTACCTTTATGCAGAAGATGAAGCAGCAGAGAAATTGGGAAAAGTACATCTTCACATTCAGCTGGAAATGTGGAAATGCAGAAAACAAGTCAGCAAGCTACGTAAGTGAGCTGGTATTTGGGTGTTTCAGCATAACTTTAAGTAAGATCTGAAACAGATATTGCCTTGACTGCTATTTTGTATGCAGCAATGGAAATTTGTTCTCTGAATTGTGACTATCTCAGGGGTTCTTGCTTGGAGGTAAAGAATGCTCTAGGGGACTCTAGGGAGTTCCCAGTGTAACTTTTTGTCCTTAGATTCTTAAGTCAGGATCCTTGGTGGTACACAGAACTTAGTAAAATTCAGCCACTAAGGGGATTTGTGTTACAAACTAATGCTGTCAAAGGATTAAATTTCCCAAATGAGCCACTTAAGTGGTGCATAACTTCTTTGAGCCACATGTTTTCTGTTATGGAAATTCTGTGTTAGAACTATTTGTCAGAAGGCTAATTGTTTGACCTTTGGGTTTTTTGCCTTTAGTTGATAGCATTCAGATATCTTGCTATGAAATTGTAACTTTTTAATTTTTTTTCAAGAAAGCCTTGCTTCTGCTAAGTATCTGGTTAATTTCTTGCCTAACTTCAGTGACATGTTTGGCTATTGCAGTGTCTTTAATATGTTATCTTTGTAGAAGGCTGTAATACTGCAGTCTGCAAACTTCCCATTTAAAGTAGCACTATTTTTTAAGACCATCTCCATTGGTATAAAATGTCTTTTTCACTTTAAGTTTTCTTAGCTGTGAAAGGATTGTGATATTTCATTGCTCTGACAAAATACCAAAACCCCTGGGCAGCAGGACTTGTATGGCTCTTAAATATCATGCTACACTTAATTCTGTGTCAGGACTCCTAAATAGAAATAGTATGATTTTCAGAGATAGGGAGCAAATACAGCTGAAATGAAACCTAGGTCATCACTCTATGTATGTTAAAGTGCTTAGCTATATTGACTGCTGGAATCAGGATCTCATGAAGGAGTACAGATTATTACTATGTGCTGAAACTGTTGTTATTTAAACTTGAATGTAACCAAATATAGGGCTAGAGACCTAAGCTTTTGCATCAGAATTTGGAGAGAGTTTGACATTTACAAATTTGTGAGCTTTTATTTTGTTGCAGTTTTGGCAGACCCAAAGCATCTCAGAGGGAGCATCTAAAATTACTAAATACTTTTAAGCTTTTGGCCTTAGAATTTAGACTCTGCTACCCATTTTGTTTTTGCTGGGATGCAGCCACTTAAAGCACAAGTTTTAAAGATTCAAATAGTGATATCTTCTTCAATTCATGTCGTAATTCATGTTGGTATCTAAATCAATGTCCTCCAAGTTTATGCTGAAATTTGTAAAGAGAGCTCTTAATATATGTTTCATGTTAGAGAATGAAAAAGCCTTTTAGCAGTTTGTCTCAGCTTTAAGTTGTATTGCATGCTGTGACTATGCATGAGGACATACATATATGTAGACTGAGCTCTTGCTGTGTCAGTAAAAATTATATGCCTTTGATGCATCATTTATTGCATGAATCAACCTTCAGAGCTATTAAACTGCTTCTGGGGAATTTTTTAAAGACTGCTTGAGTCCTCTGAGATTTCGTTCTCTCTGTTCTCAAAGTCTGCCTGTTATCATTTTAAAACAAACAAATAACTTCCCTACCCCTCTCAATCCCAATCAATCCTGAAGAAAAAACTGTCCGATTTAGAAATGTGGTAAATGTGGAGAGAGTAAATGGCTTTTTATTTTTTTTTTTATCACCTTGTATTTGGGAGGGAAGATCTGAATGGTGATCATCAGAAATGTCTAGAAAATATATATGTAAAGAGCTTAATGGAAAGTAGAGCATGTACAGTTCTCCTCTTAAAATAATACAACGAAAAGAAATTCTGAGTGTCTGTAGGAATATAATGGAAGCAAAGGTGATTGTTTACAATGTAGTAATAAAGCCAGGAAGGGTGTTTTCAGCTCTGCTTGCTCTGCTGTATGGCTTTTGAGCTATCATGGCAGAATATATGTGAGAAATTGCCATCATTATAGTGAATCTGGGAAAGGTAGATGCAATTCTCTCTGTGGGATTATTGTGCCCAGGGAGATGGGCAGTCCTTAGGTCTCTGGAAATCTGTAGCCAGGGTGGGGTCTGATTTGGTGTTTGGCTCATAGATCTGTCCCTGAGCTGCTGTGTTTGATCCCTTTAAGTGGTTTCTCCAATGTGTTGTTCTGGTTTTGCCTTTCCTGCCCTGGAAAGGCTTGAGGCACTGATGAAGAATCAGCTCTCACCTCATATTTTCCAGGCATTCCCCTTAAGCTGGAAAAAGACTTCCATGCACAGATTAGGTAGTTCAGTGCTTGCTGTGTGATGCTTCTTATGGGCTGTATAAGATTAATGGGGTGTGAGCTGATTCACCATACATCGTTTGTGTGTGTGCATATTTATATTGTAGGTACTTCCTGCAAGTAGTCCATGCTGTGAAACCCCTGCTTACTCAACAGCTTTCTTATAAGTTACTGCTCTTGGCCACAGATGAAAGACTTGGCTGTTGGGAACTGTGAGGTTCTGGCTAAGATGCAGGGACATGGGGTAGATAGGAAATAATAGTGTACGGGGGCAAATGAATGCCAGCAGTATTCTACAAGTACATATATTTGTTGTCTTTACTCAGCTGAAGAAGTCACAGCCATCAGTGTCAGTGAAAGAGTCCTACAGAATAAAGCCATCATATTTTGTCAGCCCTGTAGCAGACTGGTGCTCTCATTAGCTGTGTCTGAGGGCAAGGTCCTGTCTGGCTCTGAACACCTACAGAATCAGAGCTCTGCATCTTAGCACTGGTAGGAAGGAAATCTGGCCTTCAGGCATTACTCTGTAAAATGAAAGCAGGTTCTCCTTTTATTTTCTTTTAATGGCCAAGATGGAATGCTATTTTGACCCAATCAGACAAAATTAGTGTGATTCCATTTGTATCTGTCAAACTCATCTTAATTGCAAAATAATTTGTTTATAAAATTAGTTGTATGTCTTCAGTGTGGTACAAGACAGAGCAACTCTGCCTGTCTTTTGAAGAATTCAGATGGGATTAGGGCTTCAGCAAGAGTAAAATTGACCTTCAGTTTGGTGGAGAAATACTAGACAACATGGATTATATCTTTCTTGTTTTATAGCTACTAATGCAAATGCTGTATGCTTCAGTTTGTACCTCCCTTAGTATGACTTACCAAAATAAGGCTGATATAAAGAAATAAAAAATATGGGAAAAATGTAGCAGAACAGAATAATTTTCTCTGTACATGAAAAGTATTTAATCCAAAAATCATAAAAACTCTTATTCCTGAGACTGAAAACAAGGACATTAACTGAGTCATGGTACACAATCTCTTTTTAAAATCTCTCAAAAATGCCAAATATCAGTTTGCACTCTGAGATAAACATCCTTTTTAGCAGGCTTGTACAAACTAGCAAGTGGGATATAGTTTCGATATGCCTGATGGTGCACACAACTACCTACATGGCCCATTCACCTCTTTGATGTCACTTACAGGTTCTGAAGGAGTCAGGGCTTATCTGTTCTGTTAAATTTTTTGTGTGATATATGGGAAATCAATTCTGGTTTATATTTCTGCCCAATTTGTATAAAATGCAGAGAGAGGTGCCTTGATGCTACAGAGATAAGTCCAGGTAAATTCTCCAGTAGGTTCTGTGGGCTACCCACCTAGCTTGCTGTTTTTGGAAAGAAGCAGACCTGCTTTTGACAGTGTATTTTGTATGTAGATAGGTAAAAGGCAAACACTTCTGTTTTGCTAATTGCATTGAGCTTTACAAAAACAACTTAGTTAAAATTGGGGTTGGCATTGGGTGAGATTAGGTAAACCATTTAAAATTAAGATAACCTTTTTTGATAGTCTAACTTTCTAAGTGAAAGTAGCTGTGGGTGGATGCTTGGACGTGCAGAGAAGCAGGCAATGAAGGACACACTGGGAAAAAAGTGTATCTCTTTACCAAGGTCTCATCCCATGGAAATACAGGCTGTCCTCCCAAGGTCTGCAGCTCTCCTGCATTTGCAGAGCAGTGACTGCCTGTGAGAGGAACATCCTGGGATTCCCTTCTGCAGTGCTGTGAAGCTGTCACTTTTAGCAATGTCACTGCTTCTTCCTGTTTATGGCAAATTCATAGTGGGAATAAAATTGTTTTGGATTACTGCTCAAATAAAGTCAAAGTCCTGAGAGTCAGAACTGTGCCTGTTTTGACCACTTCAGTAATCCACTCCTCTTGCTGTAACTCAGCTTTTCCACCTTCCCTTTGGTGTTTTCCTCTGCAGGGAGCTGGATTTCTGTCCAATAAAACACTGGGGGCTTGCTATGGGCAAATCCTTGATATTACACTACCCACCTTGTTGAAGTTTTTGGTCTGTGGCTCACAGCTGATATGGACAGTTTTACTTTGGTTGTATAAAATAAACCTAGGTGGTTTGTCTCATCTGAGGAGGCTGGGCATCTCAGTTAGTGCCTGCAGGAGAGCTCACTTAGCCTATTGTCTTTCCTCAGTGCTTTCCACACTCATCTTGTCCTTGCTCAGGAATTGCCTAGTCATCCTGTCTCCATGTGTTGGTACTGGCCTTAGTTTCCTATGACCTTTACTGCTTTTGAGGTCCTGTTGATCTGTTTCACATCATTAGTGTTAAAAATTAGTTCCTGCTGTCCCCTTAGTGTTGGGTGGCGGTGGTCTCTGTCTTCTTATCAGTCACTGTTTGACAGGGTGAAGGGTCACTAACCAAAATTATTGTTATGGACAGGAAAATTATGGAGAGGCATCTGTCAATAAAGGATTCCATGCAACTAATAAAGATTTTCTCCTTATTCCCTGAAATATCTATGTCTCTCTGCATTTTAAGCACAGGAACAGAATTGAGGGATAAAATAGCCTCTTCATTATCATTAAGAACACTGCTTCATGGCCTTTTTTATAAATCAGTAACGGAAGGTAATGGAGCAGAAGGTTCTCTTTGAGATCTTAATTAATCCAAGCAGAGATGTGTGTCTGTGATGTGAGTTAGGATTAGAAATTAGCTCTGAAAACAA